CTTTGAACTTTACTGCTGTTGCTGCTGTAGTTACTGTAGAGCTTTTGTAGTTTTAGATGGATTATTACGTACATTTTACGTGGTAGAGCTTTACTAAGTCCTTGTTAATGGAATCAGCATATATAAATATAGTAGTTTTTCATGGATCCAAATGACAAATATTACCAACATGTCGGCAGTATCTTGGTTATTCCGTGCACAAAAAAGTGGGAATCAAATTTTACCAGTTGCTGGGGTATGATGTGACAATCTTCTAGTTTATTAAGATATTTGAAACAATGCAATTAATTCAGTGGATTTTTCGGAAAAGTATACCGTTTTTCATAGTTAAAGATACAACGAAGAGTCTTAAAATCTTCGAAAAAAGGTGGTCAAAGTCTTTTGAATACGTGAAAAGACTTAAAAATTTTTTAAGTCATCAAAAACTGTTAGCAATCGTTGAATGGCTCAAAAATCACAAAAAAACGAAAACTTCTAATGTGTTGGAAAGGTCTTCCGATTTTTCACCAAGACTTCTGATTGCGCAACTCTCAAAGACCACCGTCAATTGGACGGCATAGTATCAAGATCTTTGAAAAAACATCTGCAACGTTTATCTTGTTACTTTTCTATCACGTACACCAAAATGACGAACGAAAAATTAAATGCCAATCAGAGTGAAAGCAAAGTTCGGAAGACGCAATTCTGCTGAGTACTTCGTTATAATGGACTAAAGGAAATACTTATGACTCAGTTCTACGAAAATGGTGGGAATTGTGAAGACTAATTGCATCGATTACATTGCACAAAACAAGAAGGGGGACAAAATTTGACCGAATGATGGAAAAAATACTACTAAAAGTCGACGATCAGTACAAGAAGACAGAGCAATAAAAAGCTCATAACATTTAATACTATCGCTCCAGATTTCAAGGAATACTACTGTTTCACGTATTTTTCTCACTTTCTCTCTTGATTTCTATAGCTTTTTTTTCTTAATAGTATACACTGATCTAATGAAAAATGTATGAGCTTTTTGAGGAGGAAAACTAAACTTTTGTTACCTTGAAGATTTCATTACTTTGTACATATACATACGGTATTAGCTGCTTGGATAAAAAGGAAGACCCAATTTTTTTTTCAGTAAAGAAAAAAAAAAGTAAGTTCAGATAAATATTAATCTTTTTTTTCTGAGCTTTCATTTGCAAACTAGGCAATCGAAATAAAAAAAATTCAATCATAACTATTGTTTAATTCCCTTTTTTGACAAGGATCCGATCTTTCAAACTTTTTTTCTCAACTTTAGTTATTATACAACAATAATGCGTCACATGATCCTGTTAAATTTATAACTATAGTGATTCATTGGACTTATTCGTAAGGGATCGATTCAAGAAATCATCCATCGATGGGAATAAATGATTCAAAAAAAGTAACAAGTACATGCAGTTACCCAGGAACAAGTTGAAAAAAAAAATAACCAACAAACTTTTTTTCGTTTCATTCCAAAAAAATTTCCTCCTCGTTTTTTCTCCTTCCATTGGATAGGAAATCCAAGCCAAGCAGATGAGGTTCCTTTGATTATTCATTCAACCCCCGCAACTTTCGACCTGTAAAAACTAACTGTGCCAAAACTACCAAAGTCACAGGTTATCCGGTACCTTTTACATCGAACCAGCCGATTAATTTTTCATTGAACCGATGCCGATAGCGAACGGAAGGGGGAAAGCGACGGTTTTCTACAACCAATGCAAAAATAAAGTCACCTCGGTGCCATTCGGGCCAAATGCATTCCACTGAGATTCAATGCGGTCGGTGGTTTTGAAACAACATGGGAGGGTACAACATGTATTATAAAGCGACCCTTTGATTCGTACGTGTGAAATGAAAACTCGACTGTGGTTGCGTCTCTTTGCATCCATCATCGCTTTGATGTATATTATTTAAGTGCGTATAAGTGATGGCGAGTTTGATTGGGACCCGAGAGCGGCAACGCGGTTTTGGTTTGATTTAAATTAACCACGCGAGGAATCGTAGGGATCGGATTATCAATGACCGGAAAGCTCTGTTGGTACTTTCGGTAAATTATTTAAATACCAATGCCACCCGGCTCTGGTATGAAACGCCAAACCTCTCAATCGCCATTAATCACTGAATTCGCAGGAAACAAAATCAAACAGCTGCAAAGAGTCCGAGACCGAGATTTCATATCACACAGTTTAGAGTCGTGGGAGTGAAGAAGACTGCAGTAACTGCGGGCCACCACTGCGGACTATCTTAACTCTATTTCCCCGAGACTCGCCAGCCGGAGCTTCTCTATTATTCCCCTCCTCTACTTCTTATTCGGCTGCTGATGAATTATCCAAACCTATCCTTCGAGACTGGCATTTTTCGTATCTTCCCTCCCCCGTCCACCACCTCTTGAGAGCAGAAACCCCGACTCGCGCAGTGGTATTTCAAGAGCCATCCTCGCTCTTCTCAACCAATCTGGGCCCTGACGCAGTTTCCGTTCACATTTCCCTCGAATCAGTTCGAGTAATGACGAAAGTGCGCTCTCCTTCCCCGTTGACGCATTTCGACTCGTGTATCCCCACGGAAGTAAATACCGCAGATTTTTCTCGTAATTGAACGTAATACCGAGGATTAATTAATGGCCCACGCATACAGTGCAATATTGCGGCTCTGCGGCGCACGAGTAACAGCCGTACGGGTACAAGCACGTAACTCCTCGGCTCCCGAACTCAATTAATTTATTACAGCCCAGATGTCGAACGGAGTTGGGGAGTCGTTAAGCAAACTTCCGGCAGGGACAATATCTCCGTCGTCGAGTCAGAGTATCCAAATACAATCCTCCTCCCCCTCCCCCCCCGCTCTCCTCTTCACGTCCCCTGGCGTTATTTACGCGAGAGTTAGCGTCCCTTCCGCGAATAGGTTAGGAGTGTTTGCCGGCTTATCGCCCCAGCGAGGACGTAGCAAAGAAAACTTGGCTCCCCTATTTTTCCGAGGGCCCTTCAGCCGCGCAATTTATTCCCCCGCCTCTGCTCCAGCGCATCCACCCTGGACTGCTTGTTCTGTTTCGTGCCTCCCCAACCCCCTTTTTACCCTCCTCTCACTCGTTTCTTGCTCTTTTCTCCCGCCCGCGCTTTATTTGTTTTGTTTCCGATGACGATGTGGAGAGGAGTTTTTTCAGTTTTTTTTTTTTCTTTTCTCTCCAGCTCTCGAGATCCGAGGGAAAAATTACAGGGGGGAGCTTGTCTCGTGATGGCTGCGAATCAAGGTGGCTCGTTGAATCGATACAAAACACCTTCTGGTACGCTAGGGTAATGCGTTGGGCTCGTCGTTTTTCTCGTGTATTTTTGAATTTTCAAGTGCCACGTAGTATAAGCTATCAATTCATGAGCTATTTATGCATCAGATAAACGAATTTTGCGTATAATAGAGAAATAACAAATTTTGTACTACAATATACTACTTTTTTCTTTCGTTCTGAATCCCTCTCATTTTCTAACCCCAACCTTTTTTTTCTACTAAATCTTCTCAGTTTATGCCTGTAGAGAAACCCTCTCGTTGCTTCATAGATGTAAAACGTCCAATAACAGGCATGTATTGTATTTAAGTGCCTGGATGTTTTTTTTTTTTTTTTTATATTTATCTTCTGACTATACGGCGATGATGGGAAGAGAGGGAGGGGCAGACAGAGAAAAGAAGATAAAAGGGGCTTGCCCGTCTGAAGCGCCATTGAGCTATTTCGCGGAATTCAATTATTTCTAATGCGCAGTTATAACTTTGCAAATGAATCTTTGCGAGTTATTACGGGCACGACGGTTTTCTCTTTGATTTTAATTACTTTGGGAAAATATGGCTTCGCGGGGCTACCAAGTTGGAACGGGCGAATCTTTTTCCAGGAAAACTCGAGTACCAGTGTTTGCCGTTTATTCTCGTCGTACGGCAGATCTCGTTTTTTGTTTTACGCTTATTTTGACGGTGCGTTTTTGCAAGTGCGCGTTTTTGTTTCGAGCATTCCCTGTTTTTGATCTTCCTATTATTAATCCAGTGAATGTCAGCACCGACTCGGTTCGCTAAGCCTGTGAGGTACGGATGATTAAATTATCCTGTGCAATGCAATACCTAGTTAAGCTACTAAAAATAAAATGAAAAGGTTATAAATTCTCTTCTTGTCAAAAAGTATCATTCAAAGCAACGTTAAGCTTTCAATTTATGCTTTATGGAGTTTCGTAGTGTTATGTTTGCTTTACTACCAAATAAAAACATTGAAACATATGACTACGGTATCCAAAAACTCTGCAATGAGCAAACTTTTCCTTACTTTTACAATTTTTGTGTTCAACTCAAGTTATACAGCACTCCCTTGAACAAAACGTTTACATGGAGCTAAAAAATATCGTCCATTAAAAACTGATGTTTATAACGTACGCAAGTGTTTTCAGATGCTCATGTGACGTAAAGTTCAAAACAGCAAAGTGTGTCATTACGAGTGCAGTCATATATTTTAATGATTCACCTACAGCAGCGCTTTGTAACCATACAACCGCAATTAAATCCACTCACACCAAAAGAAACCTTTTTCCAACCCAGTATACGTGCGATCTACTTCACACAAAACACCATTTTTTTTGAGTGATTAATCCTAATTTTTCATTACAACATAACACCTCTACATGACAGAAAATCTTTGTAAAGCGCACTGCTTCTAAACGTCAAAAAACCGAGAGTAAGTCCCATTCATACTCGCCAAACAGGAGAAAGTAATTGGGACGCACTCGGCACTTTGAGCGTTTATGTATGTTCCGACTGTTGCATTTTCTCATTGCTTTCATGATGTGATAAATGTTGCATCCAACAAAACTTTTCAATCCGATGTAACACGGCCTCCTCTGGCATACCACCAACAAATGGCAGTAATCTATAATTAACTTGCCGATTCATCGAATTGAAAAGTCATTGATCGAGATCGTGTGAGACGAGCCGTCGTTTATGTTACTTTTTGATGTTGATGCAAGGGGCAGGAGGTACCGATTTACATATGGTACGAGTCGTATCCAACGCACAGTGGCGAGGGCTATGACGGCCGCGTCTCCAAGGTCAGCCCAAATTCGGCTTATGGTCTGGCGAGCCTCAACCTCACCAACATCAAGGAGAGCGATCAGGGGTGGTACGAGTGCAAGGTCGTGTTCCTCAATAGGTCACCTGGGGGTAAGAAGAACGGCACCTGGTTCCATTTGGATGTTCATGGTTTGTTTTTTTTCCATTCTCGATTTTTTAAAAAAAAATTAACATATTTTTTTTATCATTTCCCATGATTTTTGCCGAATACCGGTATTGCCGGTACCGATGATTGCTATTCACGTTTATGTGATGGGTAGTAGTTTTGGCCATTTCAATTTAAGTTTACTACAGTTAGTTACCTTTTAATTCAACAATCAAGATGGGGAACTTACTCATGAACTTTTTATCAGACGCCAAGCGCAATCTTCTTAAAATCTCCCGTAAGAATTTCAGGCGATAAATATTATCTTACTCGGCTCAGACAGTAAATATTATTCTATGATAATCCTGAGCAAAAATACAACTCCAAGTATGACGTGGTTTGTTTTATTGTTATTATTCAAAGTGAAAATATTACTTATTCTTTAATATAAAGGATAATTTTTTTTTTTTTTTTTTTTTTACACTAAAAAAGTTGTATTTTTATCTGGTAAGAAAGTCGGATAAAAAAGGACATGTTTTTCATTTGGTGCGTCGATATGTAGACAAGATGAGTTTTTAAATGAAGCAATCGTGACGCGAATTAAACTTTATCCAAAGCATCGAGCAGGAAACATACGGAAGAACTAAAATATAACGATAAAAAACGTGGTTAACTTTACAGCACCGCCAAAGTTCACGATAACCCCGGAGGAGATGATCTACGTGACATTGGGTGATTCGATAATCCTAAACTGCCAAGCTGAGGGCACCCCAACGCCGGAGATACTCTGGTACAAGGACGAAAATCCGGTTGAGCCCTCGACGACCATCAGGATTATGAATGACGGCACTGAGTTAAGAATCTCGACGATTAAGAACGAGGACATTGGAGACTACACCTGCCTCGCGCGCAACGGCGAGGGACAGATCAGCCATACGGCTCGGGTTGTCATTGCAGGTCAGTTTATTTATTAGCATTTGCTTTATTTTTTTATTTATTAATTTTTTTTTTTTTTTTAATTTTTAAGATCTCGAGTATTGTGGAGCGTTATTTAAAGTACATAGGACACTTTTAACTTGCAATATTTGTGCAAGAAAAGTCCCTGTTAAGTCAGACATTTTTTATTAAAAGTTAGACAAAATTTTTTTGAGTTGTATTCTACACCAGGTGTACTGAAAAAATACTGTTTGATTTAATAACTATCAAAGTTACGAAGACATCCTATCAAATAGATTTCGTTGATCAAATAGAAAATCAAGTAGAAAAGGCCTTGTTAGGTCAGACATTTTTTAATAAAAGTTGGATTAATTTTTTGAAGTGGTATTCTGTACAAGGTGCATAAAATAATACTGTTTTAATTTATAATACAAAATAATTTATAATACCCAATTTATTAAGAGACGCAATCTAACAGAAAATCAAGTAGAAAAGTCCCTGTACCTCAGACATTTTTTAATGAAAGTTAAATGGATTTTTTGAAACAGTATGTTATAATATATAATATACAGAATAGTGTGTTTTAATTTATAATCATCCAAGTTGCCACGAGATACCATCAAACAGAAAATCAAGTAGAAAAGTCCCTGTTACGTCAGCCATTTTTTAATAAAAGTTTGATAAACTTTTTGAACTAGCATGATATATAAAAGTATACAGGATAATCTGTTTTAATTTATAATGACTTAAGTAATCATGATGCGGAGTCATCTATCAAAAAATCAAGTAGAAAAGTCCCTGTTACATCAGACATTTTTTCATAAAAGTTTGATGAGTTCTTTGAAATAGTTTGTAATACAAAGTAGAAATAATAATTTGTTTTAATTTATAATCATCCAAATTATCACGAGGTACGATCTGACAGAAAATCAAGTAAAAATGTCCCTGTTACGTCAGACATTCTTTAATAAAAGTAAGATGAATTTTTTGAAGTGGTATATAGAATAATACTGTTTTAATTCATAATCACTCAAATTATCACGATGTGGAGTGATCTAAAAAAATGAAGTAGAAAAGCCCCTGTTACGTCAGACATTTTTTAATAAAAGTTAGATGAAATTTTTGAAGTAGTATTTTATACAAAGTAAATAGAATAATGTGTTTAAATTTGTAATCATTCAAGTTGTCATGAGGTGTGATCTAACAGAAAATCAAGTCGGAAAGTCCCGTCAGACATTTTTTAATAGAAGTTAGATAAACTTTTTCGAGTGAAATTCCATATAAGTTGTAAAGGAATAATACTGTTTTCAATAGCAATTATTTATAACCACTCCAGTTGACAAGAGGCGTGAGATCCAACATAAATTAAGTAGATAAGTCCTTGTTATTCTAGCTATCTTTTTACAGAAGTTAGATAAACTGTTTGAAGTGGTATTCTATACATAATAATACTGTTATAATTAACAATATTCCCTAATGTATTACATAACAATTGAGTTTCCCCAAGACGTGATCTAACAGAAAATTGAGTAGAAAAGTCAGACATTCATTTATCGAAGTACCAACAAAATGAGCTTTTAGTAAAGCATAATAATACACAAAAAGCTTATTAAACGCAATAAGAAGAGAAATAAATTTTAAAAGTCTAGTAAAACGATTCTTCTGATTTTTGTATTAAACCTTTATACTTTTTTTTTTCTTGGTCTGATGTAGGCTGAATACAAACACAAGCTGTGAAAGTTTCTATGCATAAATAAAAGTTAACTTTACCTAGAGCGTAATTTTTTTGGCACGGTTGAAGCACAAAGTGAGTGTGGTACGTACTTAAGCTGATTTCAATCTTCCAACCCGTATAAGTAGTACAGTTCCGTTTAAGTCAGACGGCCGGAAAACAATGCACCTAGCCAGAATATTGCAACCAAGCAGATTCTGTGCACATTTAACTCGTTGCTTTAAAAACCATCATGCCTCATGGAGACGTGCGAGCATTACGCATTTGTTTGTCGCAAGTACGCAAAACTTGTTGGCACGTCGCCCAAGTTTTGATACAAAGTTTGTGACGAAACTTTCAGCGCTGCCTCTCTAAGGCGGCGTTAATCCGATCAAAATTTTGAAGACTAGTTTGTGTGATCTGACAACAGTTTGTGCAGCAGAATTTTACTCCATCAAGGGGATTACAAAACATGAAGATTACTCCTCCTGCCTTCGTTATAAATAAACAAATAATAATAAAAAAAAGTTTTAAGAAAAGTGGAATCTTTATCGTTATTTTTGTTCATTTTTGTCTAACATCATCTTTCGCGTCATTCAAGAATCATCCAATAAATCGTTACGGCTACCTGTTTATCAAAACTTTAGCTATTCTTGGGTTCAAATAGACATTTTCCCAGTTCCACAGTACTAATAGACAAGACGAGAAGAAACACAAACCAAAACAGCCTCCCTTAACAGTTGTATCAATTAACGTCAAGGCCGATACGTCAGAGATCCCAGTTCAGACCTCACTCAACCTTCAAGCCTCCAACCCAGCGGTCGTTCCCTTCACTTTTCCCCTACCCCACCACCACCACCTGGTGCTTGTATAAATTTCCTTTCATCCCAGCTCGCCTAGTCGCTTTTATTTCCGAGCTCCTCCAGTACAGGCCATTTTCCTCTCGTCTCGCGCATCCCGTCCTCCCCGGCGCCTTTATTCATCTCAAGCACCTTGACGACCCTCGTTCCTACCCCCCCCCCCTCGCTCTTCACTTCCTCACTAGCTTATGTATCTCTTTCTCTCCGACCGAAGCCTATTTAAAATTCATATTTCGCTACACAGCCGGCGATCACGCGACAGGCAGCCCTGGTCGTTAAGCTCTCCCCTCATCCCTGTGGGAGACTACTCCCTTTTTCTCGACTGTCTGTAGCACCGCTTGCGTGTACATATATATATACGGGCTGATCTGCGGAAAGACCTTCGGTCGCATTCCTCGAAAAGGGGGAGTAAGTATTATTTATAGACATAGAGAAGCGTTATTTGGGCTCTTGTTGAAATTTTTGCGGAAAACTGCCAGTATAAAAGCTCGAACGACAACGTGCAAGGAAAATTTATCTCACACGACATACACTTTGAATGCCAAGAAAAAAATGGTACATTTATTCACGAGTTCGCTCGTACACCCATCGGTGCTTCTAAATAGAATTTTCTGCGTTTTCCGCAACTTATACGCTGCAAGGTATCTTTTCTTCAACTTTCTTCTCCTGTGCGTATGCACGGCGTTGCTATTCAACTCCCAGTGCTTCACGCATTCGTGCATTCAAGCCCCATCTTGCAGAAGCTTCAAGCTCGAGCGCACTCGAAAGCAACCTGGTTTTCCGGAGACTGACTGTTGTCTTTTAAACTCTAAAGAGGGGGGGGAGGGGATCGAACGATGGAAATGTAAACGGGGAAAAATGATTGATGTAAATTTTCAATTTTCCGACCGGTCGTTTTCGATGTTGCTTTCGATCTCTTCGGTTATGACTCGATGGAACCTCCTTGCTTGGGAGGCTGTACATTTCAAGTACGTCACTTATTTTGGTCTTACAAGGGGCGTTGGCTCTTCGATATGAATATTGAATCTGAAACTCGAATGTCCAAAGTTATTTTAATATTTCACTTGATAGTACACATGACATTTTTTTAAAGTCCTTAGCATTTTATCGTTTTACAGTGCTTAAAAAACACATATACTCTTTCAACCACGTAATCTGATTGGATTTCCAAAATCGATAAATTTTTCTTGTATAATGTAATTTGATTTGTAGCTTCCTTGATTATACGGCAATGAATCACGCATCGTTCTTTGTTGTAAAAGGTAGTCATTAATATTTTCTTTATGTAGCTTGGTGGCGCAATTTGCTCGGTACGATAAGGTGAATCTTTACGAGCATCGTAGAGTTTTTTTTAAGATGCGATATCCACTTTAAGGATGTCACCAATTTCGGCACCCCCTACAGTTGACGTATGTAACTGATCGATATTTTCTACCCCCTAAAAGCCACTTTGAGGTAACGGTTGTACCATACCCAAGTATATTTTTTTTATCAACTTTATAACCCTTTGTCGTATATTGTTTGTTATCAATAATTCTAATTTCATGCGTGACAAATTGTATTTTATTTAGATGGTTTACTTTTTCTCCTTTATAAATGGTAAAAATTATTAAAACAGTATTTGAAATACTTTAGAATTTCATCGAACACCAAAACAGGTGTAATGTTTTACAATACATATTTCTTCTAAAAAATTTTCCTCAAAGTTTTTGTACTTTAGTTTTTACATTTAAAGAAGTAGAGAATTTATTTTCAATTACAAACCTAAATGCTGTTCCAATGGCTTGACGTAAAAATAATCTCAACCATTTTTTAGCATACTTTTATTTATTATCAGTCCTAAAGCTTCTCAGAAAAAATTTTTTTTTCCTGACTTATTTGAGCTATTCACAAGAGAATAAGAAATCATACAGTAGTAATCCTTTGATTTTTTAATAACACAATATGCTCTGCGGTATATTTAGTGTCCTCCAAAAACATTATTTCGAACATGATGAAAATTTGCCCAATGGAAAAGCCATAACTTTAAAAAAGTCGGTCAAGCAAGCTTTAATATGAGAGTTCTTTTGGTAGATTTTGTAAAGAAAACGTATTCCTTCTTGGTTTGTGGTAGGATCTGTATTTGATCAGATAAATAAGTAGCAAAAAAATGATGATATCGTAGATCCTTTGGATTATTTGTAGTGAAAGGGATTATTTTCGCGAAACATATGGTTTGTACAAAAGTTGTGTAATATGTTTTGTACAACACTATGCTTTGTACAAAAAAAAATTGAAAGAGATCTTATTCGCTTACAAAAGACAAATAATTAAAAGTACTGGTTGTCCACGAGCTTTTTTTTTGTAAATTAGACGACAACAATAAATTGATTAACACATTTTAATCCTCCGGGAAAATTCGAGCGTATCTTTGCTTGTATAGAGATAAACTCAAAAACGAAAATTTTATTAAATCTACTGTAATCATAAATCTGAGCCACAACCTATACTCAAAATACTCATCATACCTACAAATAATATCCATGACTAAATCTTAGCGTAGTATTCCAGAACACATCATTTACATATCGTTGAAAATATGTTTAGCATCCGAAAGAAAAATTTTTCCCATTGGAAGTGACCAAATAATAGAAATTATTTATGGATAAATAAGAAATCTTGACGTAGGTTAGAGTAATGTCACTAAAATCTAAGAAAACACATAAATCTGTTATCAAAAGGGTGTACCTATAGATAAATCAATCCAAGACCCGTTTTTACCCCAACAAAGTCCTATGGTTCAAAAAGGTCTGAGCAACCGTAGTACAAGTAAAAACAATCGTTTATTGTTCACACAACCATGTGACATTAATTTTTTCCAAAAACATTCAACTCTAACTCTGTCGTTTAGGTAATTGAAAGGAATCAAGGACGAAAAAACCTTCACAATCACCCCACTTTATAGATGTGCACGTCTCTGCCATCCGGAAAAAACTCCTTCAGATAAAGTACAGTGAACCGTAAGGAAGTTCTCGTTGCGGCATCGGCCGAGCCTTGAAATTTCAAGTTTTCCAAGCCAACGGAGCTTGTCCTTACCCATCACTCGTCAAACCACACGAGCGAGCAAACGTATGTCATACCCGTACAGTCTTACACCAACTCCCCGGAATAATCCTCTTTTCCGTCTCGGATGCGGTTGTTTTCGTACGCCACGACCGCTCGAGTGGAGAAAAGCGCGAAAGCTTGTTCGGTCAGAGCGTACACGAGATTCCTTTCGAGGGCAAGCCTCGACGAAAATCCTCAAAGAGCGTCGCGATACGCGAAAACGAGTGTGTTATTCGATCCCACTGCGTTTCGCTGCCAAAGAGAAATCGAGAGATTATCGAATTACACGGGAACTCTTAACGGAGTAAGATATTCACGACAATAACTCCCAATGTATATTGAATATTGTTTTTTTTTTCCTGGCTGCTGAATAGGAAAGTTAAATATGCCAGTTGGGTGACATTATTTTTTTTTTCTTTTTATATTAGAAAAAAAGGGACGTTTCTATGTATTCTCCACAATCTCGTGTAATAGTAGACATCGGAAAACCGATGAAAAAGACAATTCAATCTTTACATTACCGCTCCACGTAACAGGCGGACCAGTGATAACGGTGCCACCTACGAACGTAACGAAGCTCGAGGGCGAGAAGGTGACGTTCCCGTGCCAGGCGAAGGCAATGCCGGGCAACGTGACGGTGCGCTGGTATCGCGAGGGGGCGCTCATCTCGGAGATCTCGGAGCTGGAGACTCGAGCCTCGGTCAAGCCGGACGGTAGCCTGGTCATCAACCCCGTGAGTGCCGACGACTCCGGGACTTACCTCTGCGAGGTGACCAATGGCATCGGCGAGCCCCAGACCGCCAGCGCGTACCTTAATGTCCAATGTAAGCACTTGGTCGACACTTTTTCTCGCACATCCTTTGATCGCATCTTTGCGTATTTTTGAAAAAAACGATTATACCCTTCGCAGATCCAGCCAAAGTGACGTTCAACCCGAGCATCCAGTATCTGCCGTTTCGAATGGCTGGAGTCGTGCACTGCTACATAAAATCCAACCCGGCGCTGCAGTACGTCACTTGGACGAAGGACAAGCGTTTGCTGGAGCCGTATCAGATAAAGGATGTCGTAGTGATGACCAACGGCTCGCTGCTCTTTACGCGCGTCAACGAGAATCACCAGGGCAAGTACACCTGCACGCCTTACAACACCCACGGTACTCAGGGCAGCTCGAGCCTGATGGAGGTGCTGGTGCGCAATCCGCCGTCGATCACGGTTGAGCCATTGCCGATGTACCAACGCAAGGTCGGGGAGACCGTCGAGATGCACTGCGACGCCCAGGAGGCTGAAGGCACGCAGAAACCCGTGATTACTTGGCAGCGGGTTCGTACTTTTTGTTTGTTTGTTGCTCCTGTGGGACCTATTTATTGTAATTTTATAAAGTAATTTGGGATATATACCGAGTGTAAAATTTTGCCAGAGGGTATTTAAAGAGCTTAGGTTTGAGGATCATTATGTCTTGCTAGATTGAGATGTGCATTTCGTGTCAGATCACATGCCTTTTTCAAGAGCACTGATTTCAAAGGGTTGGCACTCACTTACTCATAGTACCATTCTCAATCCCTAAAACAGAAGGACAACGAGCCGTTGCCCCGCGAGCGGGCGAAAATGGTCGGTGGCAATCTGACGATTGAGGGCCTGAAGCGCCAGGACTTTGGTGGCTATCAGTGCGTCGCGGCTAACGAAGTAGCAGCAATCGTTAAATCAACGCAGCTGATCGTTGAAGGCACGCAGCCACACGCACCTCACAACGTGACCGCAACAGCCGATGAATTCTCCGTGAAAATCTCCTGGCTGCCGGGCTACTCTGGTGGACCGGATTACCAGCAGGACTACACGATTTGGTGAGTACCAATACCGAGAGAGATTTGAAATAATTTTCAAATAAAGGAGCAATACGTTTCGATAGCATATTGGGGGTTGTACGCTTATTATTTTAATGGGGTGTTTTACTCCATAGTGGCAATCTGTTAACGGTAAATACTCATATGCTCGAAATTGTCGGTGTAAGAAAAATTTATCTCAATGCTTATGTACTCTTTTTAGTTAATGTAATTGTTAGTTTACAAAACAAACAGTATAAAATCTCAAAACTCGACAGTAACTGAAAGCTAATAGAAAGCAATTTTTTCTATATAATCTCAATTGGTAAAAGTTTTAATGGAAACAAGGCAAAATGAAATTTTTCTCTGATCAGGTATCGTGAGGAGGGAGCTCAGGATTGGAAAACAATCCCAGTGACGCCGTCGGGTAGTACGACGCTGACGATAAGCAGGCTAAAGTCCGCAACTAATCACGAGTTTCAAGTTGTTGGGAAGAATGCGCTTGGCGAGGGGATGTTTAGTAAGGTGATCACTGTCAGGACCCTGGGTAAGCACCAAGGCTTTTATCTTTCACTTAATTACATTCTAATTTGATTATAACTATAGGATACGACATTTGTCGTGTAATTAAATTTCAATTAAATATTTATCCTTCATTAGTTCGTTTGAATTTTCAGATTTGTACAATACGTTTAAGTAATTTTCATGATTGAAACGAATTTTTATTGTCCTTTTAGATCCAGGAGTGCCGAAAACACCTACTCCATCTTCGAGTTCGGGTAATCAGGTGCCGGCAGTGGCCGATCAGAGTAGCGGTATGTTTGAAAACTGCAAATATTTCATAATTCACTCTAAATAGCAATAACTGTTAGTTACACACAATGTCCGTTTGTACTATTATTATTATTATTATTTGTTATGCTTTAAATTAAATTAAATTTCACATTCTACTCTATAATCTAACATGATTGAAACACGAAATAACGTATTAATAAAAAAATTTTAAAAAACATTTCGAGATCAGGTGTCGTTTGTTGTTGATTTGTCAAGTAATTAGGTCATCAATCTTAAATTTTATTCATGACTTGTGCCGCACATTGCATACACATCAGCATCAGAAATCACGTTTTTTGAATGAAGTTAATAAAAAGTAAATTTTACAAAAGAGATTTAACGTAGTACAAAATACAGTCGCACACAAACACGTTTATACGGGCAAAAAAAATTTTAAATCGCAGATTACATGGAGAAAAATATGAATTTATCTTCTGAAAGCAAAGTTCTGGAAGTTACCTCAATAGGGAAAAAAAAACTGAGAGAAGGAGAGCTCGCATTGCCGGAATTTCTTCGATATCCTCTACGTATCGTATCGACTAAACCATCGGACTACTCGCTCTATTTCCGCCTTTATTCTCGTACCGGCGAAATTCAACGCTTCATTGCTTAACTTTTGTACACAACGACATTCTCTTTCCTATCTGTTTTTCCGGGGTACGCTGCACTTTCCCGGCTCTAATATCTTTTATTTATTTTTTTTCTTTTTGCCCCTATATTGTGTCCATACCTATACCGTTTGTTGCGCTGGTTTTGACAATTTTCCATCGAGTCGCGTGTAATCCGTTCTGTTTACCCTCCAAAGGATAATACGGATGCTTGTAAGAAAAATAGCTCAACTCGTCATATCTCTGTGCTTCTCAAACAACTGCACCAAGGGTTTTTATAAGACAAAGAGTATTTGGTGATTCTACGACGATGAAATCTGAAACATTGAGTAGAGGTTGGTTTGATCCGATAAAGTTACTCGCATCGGTAGCTTCAATTCAAACAGCGATTTCGTGTATTCAATAAAGTAATTTAATCATCTGTGAATTTAAGTAAGAAAATAGCTATCGATTCTAGGCTTACACTGAAAATGATAATCTGACATGTTCATCCAATGCCTATTTTTTACACTTGAAAATAGTTATTGTCTGTGAAAAGCAATAAAACTGTTACATTTCATGGATTAATTATCATTTACTAGCTGTAACTCATCGATACTCCATCAAGATCTGGTTAGTCGCGTTCCTCGATTACCGCATTAGAGGTATTAAAGAGGATTTTATTGCCGTACCAGTTACTAGAAACCGTGTATGGGAAAAGATCTTTAGCGTGGCTTATTGGGAGGTGGGGCTTGCTGGAGTAAAAGAGAAAAAAGGAGGAAGCTTTAAAGAATGCAAATAGATCGGACAACGCACGTATGGAGATACTTTCATGGAAAAACGTGAAAAAGAACCAGCGTGGGATGAATGATAAAAAAAGTACGAATAGAAGCGATACCGGACAGGTATTGGAAAAAAAGATTGTATCGCGAGAGAAAGGGAGGCGAAAGGGGTGCGAGAGGGGAAAAAAAAGGAAATAGAGCAGGGAATAAACTTAATCTACTTAACCTTCCGGTCAACGACCTCTGAAAAAGGGATGGAGGGAGATGAGCGATAGGAGCTAAGCTACTAAAAAAAAAAAAAGAAGTAACAGAGTATGTACGGTATAAAAAGACGCGGGGAGGAGAGTCAACGGAGCCTCGTTCATTTTAAACGTGAAACGACGACAGTGCTTGAGCTAATTTTTGCGATCCAACGAGTCTTTGGCAATTAATTTGTTCGCGAAGAAGAGACATTTTACAATCTTTTTTCAAAAATCTTATTCTCGACTTTCTATTTTTCTCTCCCTCACTTTTTTTTACCTGAAATTCATTTTCATGGTAATAATATCTTATTCCACAAGTAACAGAATCAGACTTGCAATCTGATGAACCAACGATTTTTGTAGTCAGAATACGTGAAAGCCACTATTTTATTCAAACTTCTTTCTTTCACTTATGAAATGAGATGCATACACACTTATTAACAGAAAGGGTTACTTATACTTAAGTCTAATCTTTGGCATTAAATCAATCTGGATTAAATTATAACGTAATACATTAGCACTTACTCATTTATTTACTTACTCGATGATGAGATTTTGAATAAATGTATATCTGTTGCAATCCTCACATGTGATAATGAAACTCATGAAGAACTTTGAGAATTGTCTTAGCTCATTCGTCATATCCATTTAATATTGTAACAAAAAAAAGTGTTTTTCAGTTTTTAAGAAAAAATTATGATTCTAAACTCAAATTTGAAATAATAAACGTTTTGTAAACATTTTGAGAATCTAAAAGTATCTTGATTTTTCTTCAATATTTTAAAAACATGTAAAATACTTCAATAACTTTGATAATAGTTAATAACTTAAACTTTTGCATAGTACTTCTCTGTTCAGTATTGTCTGAGCTTTTTAATACTAGTTTTTGCTACTATAAAAACGCTGGTAAATAAGTTTTCACAAATACAGTAAAAAATAGATAAATCTTTGTAAGAGCCAATGAAAATTTTCAAAGGCATAAAATCCTCATGAGTACAAGTAATACTTTCTGTAAGTGTGGACCTTCAAAAAGACATGCACTTACAAAATTATTTACACATACTAACAAAAATGTGGCAATGTGCTCAGATACAGACATTTTGTTCCTTATAGTATTCTTGGAATTCTTGGTCCTCAAGTTAATGATATCAGCTTGTTGTAGCAGTATTATCGCACTAAATTTTATGAAAAAAATTTTTTGTCAGAAAAACGAGTTATAGGGTAACATAATATATCTTTCTATATTTTTTTTTTCAATTTCTCGAGCGCTTCTTGTCCATGTTAGGTTGAGATATGTAGGAATTGTAAACGATATCGCGTAAAAAACACTGTTTTTTCCAGGGAAATGAGAATCGTATGTAAAATTTTATGTACTTTCTAAGAAAATTTTTTTCTTAATAATTTGTACATCAAATCTGTACTTTTTAAATCCAAAAGATCAAGTTTCCTAAATATTTTTGCTTTGCATTACAATAAAAATACAAAAATATCTTCGCCAAAACGTTGTTCTTGTATTAAGTTTTAATTCAAAGTAAAGAAAACTTGATGTTTTCTTTTACATTATTAAATAATCTTTTTGCTATCGCTTTGCACCTATATGTTTAGTCTTATAAAATGCATGAAATTATTGCTTGTTATTTTTTTTTTTTTAATGGTATATGAATGTGATAATATTTGTTTATAATCTTTTATTTACAAACATTTACAGTAAAATTAAAGATTATGTTAAAAAAATTTATAACAAAATTTAAAAACTTAGTTTTTTATGCATTTCTATACTTTTACTTGTAAATCAAAATTGTATACTTTTTATTATTCTTACTTTTCTAGGTAATATTTCAATTAAAAATTTTTACACTAGATATTAAAGAAAGAAATTGTTAATGTTATGTCTTTGATAATTAACATTCCACATTCTTATTTGCTTATGATGCTGCCCGAAATTTAGAAATAGCTTGCATGTTTTACTTTTTATTTGAATAAATGTACCTTCAGCTAAGGTACTTTTATTTCTTAGGGATATGGGATACTCAATATTATTATAACTTTTCTTGTAAAATTGATACCAACAGTTTTTAGTTGAACAAACTGTATTGAACTAAATTTTTTTTGACACAAAACATTAAAGAACACTTCTACAATGCATTTTCTGAATTGAAGTGTTTAAGTTTTGAATGTTGCTAAACTCTAAAAATTTAGTACTAAAGTAAATGTCTAACAATAAATAAATGATTCTTGCATATGTTAAAATCTTTATCATTTCAAATAATTGTGTAAAAATATACTTGAAAGTATTTGTCTTTGATAAATCACATTAATAACTTTCAATAAATTATCAAATAAAACTTTTTAATGAGTATCCTATGCCCTTAAGTATGATTAGCCCAAATGTAAAAATGTACTTGTTTACGTTATAATTTGCTTAATGAAATAAATTAATGCAATGATTATTTTGTAATTATTTGACTTTTTTTCGTTAAGCAAATGTAACATGAAGAAATATATTTTTACAGGTGGGCTAGAATTACCCCTAAAGGAGAAAACTTCCGATGATCGTAGGTATCCGCAATTTCCGAGGTAGCTGGACACGTAATTTACACACTAACCTGTGCGCGTGTAATTTTAGGACCAAGACCAGGACCACCGAGAAATGTGTCCGTGGCTGAAGTGAGCAATGGTTTCCTCATAACTTGGATGCCTCCACTCGAAAAAAGCCACCTCGTTAAATTTTACACGATTCATTTCAAAACTGACGGACCCTGGAAAACTTTGAATAAAGGACAAATTCGACCAGAGGACACGAGTTATTTAAGTAAGTCTTTTTTTCTTACTATTACAACTAATTTAAAAATTACAAAAAACATTCAACTAAATTTATTGACAGAAAAGAAAATTGGGGTAATTGTAAATCTAAGGAAAGATCTTTCAATTTACATCACTTATATATCTCTTTAGCAATACCCATTTGGACTCGTTTTTGTCAAATTTTGACATTTTTCAAACAAAGATACTCATTTTCTTGTTAAAACAAGTTTTTTTTACCTACTGTTCCGACGAAAAAATGTTTTCCCTAATAACTTTCTGTATGATTAAGAAAAGACTCCAAATCCATAGAGCACACCAAAAAAATATGATTCATGATGAAAAATATTAAAAATTATCTTATAAGCTTGCCATGTATCCAATCAAATTACTTGATATCGTCAATATTTATGTTTTGGTAAAGAAAAGAGTACACTACAAGTCTCATAACACAAATAAAAAGGTTGGACAGATTTATTTAATTGTCACGTAAATTATTCACACTTCATTTATACTTTTACTTTTAATTTTGTAAGAAAAACTTTAAGTGAAATAACAAGTTTTCGAGTCTCAGAAAATGTTTATTGAAACGAAGATATCAAACAAACGCCTTACACCAAAGACTGAATTTAATTAACTTAAGTTTTTAATTAAAAAATTACAGTGAAAAACCTGGTCGGCGGTAGAACGTACTATTTCGTAGTAATCGCCAATTCGACGGACAGTGCTGGGGTAAGCGATCAAATAAAGTATCCTGTGCCAGCGCGCGTCAAGCACAAGGCCATAACCGCTGGTGTCGTCGGTGGCATACTCTTCTTCATCGTTGCAATTATCCTTAGTATATGCGCGGTTAAGATCTGCAATAAGCGAAAAAGACGAAAACAGGAGAAAGGTAAGATATTATCTTTACTTATAATTTATTTTAGTCTGATATTATGAACATTTATGCTAGCAAACGCCTACTTTGCAAAGTTCTTGCTTTTTTGTCAGAGAAACAATAAGTTTGAGTAACAAAAAAAGCAACGATTCTGAAAGTAAAAGCGTCAGCTAACAGCCCTGCACTTACATGTGATTCCTAGTGATTGTGAGACCCCAAATTAACATGGTTTTTGTACTATTGTAGAACTGCTTTCAGCGTATAATATGGTGGCCTGCCGGGTTACGGACGCTCGTAACGGGGCAGGGCAGGGGCCCCATGGAACAGTGCCTTTAAAAAAGTAAGTTTCACATACATTTTGAAACCATTTATTTGCGCTAAAAAAATCATTTAGAGTTTAAGAGATCACGTGGATGCTCACCTTTTTGTCAGGCATCCATTGTGAGCCACTTTCATGGAATCGTAGTTGCAATTATCCTTAGCCCTACATCAAAACTTTTTTAAGTTTTTGTCGATTTTTATGTAAATTAATCTATTACATTCAAAACAATAAAAAAAGAAATTTTTTAACAATACAATAATTTTGCTGAAAATTATAATATGCCTGAGTTATCATAATGTAAAAGAACCATGTTATTAAATTAATAAATGATGCAATTGCGATTCTGCTGGAAGAACGGATTATAGTTAAAGGTGTAGGGATTAAAGCTAACATTTAGAAAAAAAGCACCACATTACTCAATGGTATTAAAAAAATTTTACATAGAACTAAAATTAACATAAGAATGAATTTTAGATAAAAGGAGATGAAAGGCATTTTAAATTAACCTAAAATTATGGATCATCGTTCACTAAGTTAAAATCCACAAGTGTGTAAGACGAATCCTACCTGAAAAATATTCTTTGATCTTCTTGCAACAATATTTTATATAAGTTAGACTAGATTACGTAACAAACTTAGAAAAGGTTTAACTGATAAGTAGAATCAGCAGAGGTATTTTGGACACAGACGAAAAAAATTAAAATTTTCGAAAAAGTTTTACACAACCAACTCAACTCACAAGTTCACCACGATTAGATAACAATTTAACTACATAAGTATATCTTTATCAATTACCAAAAATTAACTTGAACATATATATACATATTACCATTGGTAATCCAAAACTTTTGATTTGAAAAATGAGCTGTGAAATATTTCAAAAGACACGTTATTTACCAAAAGTTCCATCAGTCATACTACTTAATGACCAATGACTCAACTGCCACCCTTCACCAAATTTTCTAAAAAATGTCTATGTATTAAAAGATCACAAATTTAACAAAATCATAAAATTCAACCACATTCGAGAGCACATTGTACAAATAGCGAGAAATTCTAATTTCTGAGCGGCATCCAAAAGTCCACAATACGACTGCAGTGATGCCTATTCTGGATGACGCTGAATTATTTTATGTATTGATTTTTATTTCTATTCTAACAAGATACCGTGACTTTCCTCACAGACCGGGATAAGTCTTTAGTTACATTTTTCGTTTGGTTATCATCTTCTTAAGAGCCAGTACGACTATCTCTCTTGTTACTTTTTATTAAATCACCATAGATTTTATGATTTGATACATTACTCTCATCATCCTTATCGTTTCATGGAAAATATCTCATAATTTTTTTACAAATCATTATTTTTCCATACATTATAGCTTTAAGTTGTTTTCAGACTTACCCTGTTTTATTTACAATATCTGGATCTTAAGAAGTTTTTACGCTGTCGTCGTGACGTTTTTTCGTGCACCCGAGGTCGAAGGATTCCTTTGCACATCATTTCTCACTTCTGTCCTACCCTCCTTCACCCTCGAGGCTTGCACTTGCAGAGATTGATTTTTTAAAAGCGCGACCAATCATTGGAGATAACAAGAAGAAAAAACATAGCGCGTCATTTGGATTTACTCTTCACGTTATTTTTTATCGCACGTTACATATCCAGAACGGGCTGTACGGTTCACTTCGTAGGATATATTTTGAGTGCGAAATCTAAGTGAATAAGGTTTTATAAAAGAAATTAAAAACAATCATGATCGTTTAAATGCTTTAAATAAGGTTGCTGGTTATTGCTGCTTAAGTGAAATGGTTCTCAGTACATGATAATACAACTAACGCGACGTCCATCGTAATTCACCAGAAATAATTAAAGCTTTCCTTAAAGTTTTTCGTTTTGATTAATTCTGGTAAAGTATGTTAAGTACCTTTATGACTGAAAAATAGATTACAGCGTGATGTAGCTCAGCTGACTGTAGCAAGTATTGACTTTTATTTATTTTGATTCTCCAGAATAATAATGCACGACAAGATTTTATTACGCTACTTGGTGCACTTCATTTTGGATAACTTAACGGTGCCAAATGTAAGGAGATTATTACATTCTAAAAAGTGGATGATCTCCTGTAGACAGTGAAACTCTGAATGATTTATTTGATTATTATTTTGGACCCACTAAAATTTAATACTTTATCAAAAACGTACTATTTCGATTAATTTATTATTGTGTTTCAAAAGTATAGGCTGCTTAAAAAGAATCTCATTTCAACGTTATTTGAAGCAAAACGATGGTATCATGTACGTGACTTATCATTTGGATTTAGCAGTCAAAATACCGCTGGAGTATTACAACCTAAAACTATTATAATATATTGATGATTCCAGTTTGATGTTTTTGAATAAAAAATAAGAGTCATAGAGTCGAAACATACAATGAACAATATAACTTGAAAACTGTGTTATATCTGAGTATGTTAAGAATTTTTTCTGTTAGCCTATTATAAATAAATATTTAGTTATTACGGAAAAACATAAAGGTTTTACGATAAAAAGGATTACAATACAATAATATTGTAAATAAGAGGTTTTTGTCAAAGGTTTACAAAATTTTTAATTTGAGCTTTACAAGTACTTAACTGCACTACGAGAGAATATAGAACTTACTTAAATTGAGACAAAGTAGTTATTTCTTTTGTAAAGATGAGTTATAACTATTGTCTAAGTAAAGAAATGCACTGTCTGATAACACTAGCTATAAGGTTAAGTTCTTTCCGTTTTTCTAATACCCTTATAAACTTTGTGATTTTCAATTAGAATTGTTTGTAACCGATTTCTGAAAAAATATATTCATGTTTTTCCCTCTGAAACCTTTGTTTAATTGTTTTGTATGATTTTGTGGTACAATTTTAAATTATATGCTGTAGTAAAAAACTGTTTTAACGATGTTTTAAAGTTTAAAATTTGACAAAAATCAGCTTTTAGTTTTAAGTAAAACATTATAATTATTTTAAATAATACAATATAAAAAATTCGTCCTTTTATTAGCCATTTTGTTTGCCATTAAAAAATTTGAGTTTTCGTCACTAAATTAATAGCTTTCGTCCATGATTGTTTGTCGAAGTGTATTCCTAATCCTCAACTAATTATATTGGTAACTATTTGCTTCATACAAACCTTTTGCGAGTTATTTACTTATCGAAGATGTATTGTTTTTAATTGTGGAACTGATCTATATCTTGAAATGACACATGTTTATCTATGTTAATTGATGGAGTGTATATTAAAGACCTTATGATTATAAAAGTGAAATACTAAGAAAGACTACCAATGATATTTAGGATAATTTCATAGTACTAATATTAGTTGTGATAAAATTGTAATTAATATCAAACAAAAAAAGTCTTTCGAGGGAGACTGCGAATTACATAAATCAAGACCTTAACAAAGCCAAATTTTTAATAAGAACTAAGTTTATAACAGAGTTTTCTTGATTTTTAATGACTTGTTGGTGATGGTAAAACGAAATTAGTAGAAAAATTTTTTGACAATTAGTTTCGACTCTAACTCAAAAATTAGAAAATAAAAGTGAGACGGTCTTCCATGCGAATTTTATGTAGTTTATGGATGATAATGGAGATTTCACAAAGTAACAGCTAACCCAATTGTTTGAATGCCTTCAGTGATACAACACGGAACTGTCTTTTGTTTGTCCTGTTGTGTGTCTAGGTCGTCGAACTTAAACGCTTGTGGCGAGTCAGTGTCGACGCTGACCCGTTGCAGCCCGTTGAATCCGCAACAAGCACCACTACCACCACAACCTCTTCATCAACCACCACCTCCCCAGCAAATGCAACTACCGAACCCCACGAGCACTGCCATCTCGACGGAGCCGGCCCCGCCACCGGCGTGCATTGGCGGCATGCATGGCGAGCAGCCGGCACCGGTACCCCCACCACTCGTACCCCCACCGAATCGTGATCGTGATCATCACACGCTTCAGTTAAATAATCGAGATTACGAGAGCGTTTTTATCATTGAGAGGCGGAACAGTAAGCCCAACATACGCTAAGGCACCTTTTGGGCTCTACACTTTTTGTCGTATATATACATACATAATGTGACTAACTCCATAGAAAAAGAGACAAAGAGCTATAAATCTATATACATATGTATACATAGTACATAACTGCACACGAAGATAAAAGCATAGCATACGAACACTTATATATACGAGACCGCTCACGAACGGCCAGAGAAAGATATATATGTACGTGATGGAGATGATTATCGCCATATTAGTCACAAGTATGAGTCGAGAGCATCTTTGTTGTTGTTGTTGTTATTGTTCTTCATTTTTGTAAAGTTTTGAATATACATTTGGAAGAAAAAAACGAAACTATCATACGGACGAATCGGAGATGTGGAAAAAAGTTGATGATGACGGGAAAAATGACAGGATTTTTGGAAGAAGCTGCTGCTGGCGCCAGTCAAGAAACATGCTAAAGCATACGCACGCACTATACGCATGAGGATACGCACTAGTAGTCACCGTGACCATCTACGATAGATAGATGATAAAAAGAGACTAAGAGTGCTTATGTGCATATTACCAGATAAGATTAGTCTTCGTTTTATTACACTGCAACTGTATTGTTACCGAGATCATGTTATTGTGAATAAACGAGCATCAAGATACACGAAACGAAAGAAAAATAATGTATATCTGTACATGCACACGTAAATTATCTGCTGCTGCTCTGTCGTCAAGCACGTCAACAAATTTACCGACCGTCAGCCATTATTTCTGCTATTTTAGGATGATTGTCATGAAACCAGAGGAAAGCACAGTCTTTTGATCCAAAACTTAAGAAAAATAGAGAAAAAGAGAACGTAGATAAGAGATGGAAAATAAAGGCAACTGAATCTAAATACAGCCATGTAGGAGATATCTGTTCAAACGCTCTAGCTCATCCAGTCAGTAGGTACCTATTACCTAAGCTTGGCGGATTAGGGAGTACATAGATATAGGAGAAAGAGCCATTGTCGACGGCGTTACCGCTCATTACTGAACACCAGACAATCCGTACATTGATTTTTTATTTGTGACTTATTTTTTGATCGCTCATCCATTCATCGTTTGTTTTTGTTTTATTAAGTGTTATTGCCTGTCTCGTTATTAATCTTATGGTTTTTTTTTTTTTTTTTTTTTTTCCTTTTTTTATGTAAACACTACATGGCTTAATCTCATGTTTTTACTTGTCGCTCTTGTTCCTCAGTCATTAGTATTAGAAGGTATCTCCTATTTTCAATCGACTGATGTCTTTCGGAATGTTTTGCATTCTGTGAAATAAAACCCTAATATTAAATACAAATAAGTAAATAATAAACAAAGTTCTCTTTAAACATGACTAAAGCAACCATTGTAAATTAACTGACTGTGTGTGCATGTTTTTAACAAATACTTGATTACAGCTGATTAATAAATTATCAACTAATGTACGAATCGCTTGATATTCTCATTAAATTCTTTCACCCTCCTCCATACACCTATAATATATAGATCTTTCTGCTGAAATATTTTTCAATTTCAATAAAGACCACAATTGTGACACGTTTTGAAAAAACCTTTTAGATGAATAGAAAGATAAATGTGTTATCATCACTGGAAGAGTACCAAGTTACTTCATCGTGTAAAACAAGTAACTAGTTTTTTTGAAGATTTTTCAAGGGTCCATAGTTTTTTTCAAAGCTTTTTTTTCATTAGTACTAGATTCAATGCAAACGAATAATTTTATTTAATAATTGCGTTGGTGCTTTTATCTGTAGAAAATTTTTATTCGTTAAAATTTGTCGTCATCTAGTTTATTTATTATAAATATAGCTGTGCTGTTCATTTTAATATTGAATAATAGAAAAAGATATTACATTTACATACTTCATTTAAATCAAACCATTTGTATTTTGTAAGAATCACAGCATTTTGATTTGAAAACTTTTTGATTATTTTCAGTTTCTTAGTACTCGAACAAGAATCATATAAATATACAGAACAGTAAAACAGCCAAAAGTAGGTGCCAACATTTTTTCTCTCCTGAAGATTATTTGCAATTTATTTAGGCTACACAAAAAACAGTACTGCTGTCGTCCACTTCTTGTACACTTATGTATTAATGTACATATTTAAACACTGCTCACTTTATTGTTTAGATCAATGTGAACTCTTTCGTACAAATCGAGGAATGAGCTTTCGGATCTTTCCACGTGTATATTTCACAATCACATCACCGGGCATGTTTCAAAACGAGCACTTTATAATTAAAAATCACAAGCTACATCTGTCTTTCAAGATTACAAGAGTTAAATATAGTGTACAATATTTTAAAAATGTTATAGAAAGACTTATCACGAGACCAAGTACATCAAGACAAACAAAAACAACTCTTTGATAAATTTTACTTACTTCCTAGAATTTTTTCAATTGAAAAATAAAAATTTTTGGAAGCTGAGAGCTCGTTAGAAGAATTTTTCAAGGGTTTTTCAAATCTTTATGAATTTTAAATTAAAAATATCCTAGAAAACATGTATTGTATTTAGATTTGAAAAATACCTTTTTTATTGACCTTGATGAGCTCAATCTTGTGATATAGTTTTCCTGAAACGTTTTCGGAACACCCTGTATGCAAAGAAAAACTTCTATTTTGCGTACAGTATTTTGTACAAGTGCTGAAAGCCCATTTCTCCAACTATATTATTAAATGCACTAAAAAAAATCAACTATGTAAGAAACACAAATAACTCTACCTGAAAAAATATACAAAAACCAAATAGTTGAGAAATATGTAAAATTTTTGACCAAACTCGAAAGGGAGTGTAAAAAGCGACTCGTATTCCATATTGAATCTTTTTACATAACATTTAATTCTGAAAATGCAAGCTTCTGCTTACACTGTGGAATCTATGAAATTTAATACTCAATATCTATTTGCTCCGTAAATTTACCGCCTAATCTATAAATATACATTTTGCATTACATACTTATAAATGAATATAGCCTCCATTATTTTGTGTCTGTGAATGTAATCGTTGTAAAACGTTATTTCTCCCCCATCTTACCTTGGTGCCGGACTCGAAGGAGGACAAAAGGTGACGATACTCGGAGCGCCTAAGACTATATCACGATTGCTCTATTTTTGATAATCAAATAAATGGAATGACTTAATTGACGATTGAAAAAAAAATAAAAACATTTTGTTTGTTTTGAACTTGAAAAAAACATGTGGTCATGGAAATGAATACATTGTATGGAATATTTTTCTCCCGGAGAAAAGAAAATCCATATTTACTTCCACTTCACGCACCCGGCAAGATATTCGTCACGCCCTCTTTTATAAATGTGTATTTCGCACCAGATTGAGCATGTGCATGTCTTTTTTAATGCTTGAATTAATTTTAAAGCGAATAGCTTATTCTTCTATTTATACGTAAAAGTGTTATAATTTATCTCTTTTTCAATAATTATATGTGTATAGATGTTTCGTGTACGTAACAATTAAGTGTTGCACGTAAAAATGGTAAAAACATTGATAAGAAAGTTCATGGACCCATTAATTTATAAGCTAACTAATTATTTTTCTTTGTTCGTTAAGCTCAAGAGACTTTTGAATCATACAATCATTTGTGTTATAATATGCAGTTTACTTAATAAGGTTTTGTTTAGTGAAATTTTATTACTTCAAACATGTATACTACTGAATCGATTCGTTTATTTTTTGGGATCAATCGTATGTTCATTTGTCATCCTGATGTTTTTTAAGAATCTAAATTATTAAATTTCTTCCAAATCATAAAATTAGTTGAAAATTGGATTAAAACTTTAAATGCATTTGTTTTATTCTCGGTAATTTTTCATACGGAGCCATTAACTTTCTTCCTAGCTGTCTTTAACCTCCATCACTCGAATACAGCTAACGCTCCGTTTGTTTATGTTCCCGCATCTAGATCTAGAAAAAGCCGAATACCAGGTCTGAGCCTCCTGCGCGAGATCATCAACCCAACAACGCCAGAATTCGCCCGTCGCTGTCGACCACTCGGCAAGATCTCTCGCGCGGCAGATGGCCGCTTCGTCATCGCCGACTCGGTCATGTCCTCTGCCGACAACAGCATCCTCGACGCCTCGAGTAGCGACGACGGCGGCTTCCTACCGAAGCAGCACCACCACCATCAGCGCCTCAAGTCCTCATGGCGGCGGCCTCTCGTGGGCACCAGCCAGCTTAGCCTGCGCTCCGAAGGCAGTGGCTTCTCCATCGGTGCTACCAACTGCGGCCCGGCTTCGTTACCCATCGCTGCCACGCCAAGCGCCATTGCTGCCACTATAGCCACGCATCACCATCATCAGATCAACTCGCCCAACTGCCCCGCCATGTTGGGACCCAATGTGGGTCCCGATCACTGCACCATCGCCACCTCGCCGCGTTTTCTCGCCAGCTCACCCAGCGGGCCTCAGTCGGCACCGTGGGCCTCACCTACCGTCTACCTGAGCGATCTGAGCTCCGTGCGGCCGGCCAACTCGTCATCGGCCGAGCGCAGTGCGGGCTCCGGCTTCCCGACCCCACCGAGTTACTTGCAGCTGCGCAGCGTCCACCAGCGCTACAGCCAGGAGTTACCGTCGCTCAAGGCAATACACGCCGAGTCGCACCAGAGGTTCGTGCCGGTTCAGCCGCTCGCCACCTCGTCGCCACCGCAGCCGGCCGGCCGGCCTCGCGCCCGATTACCACCCCGGCACGCGCGCCACGCCAGATCGGCACCCGAGTTGGCCGCCTCGCCGGACCTCGAGACCTCGCCCGAGAGCCGCTCCAGTAGCTCCGGTTTCGGCAGCAAGAACACCTCGCAGCAGAACCAAAGCTCTCGCAGTGGCAGCACCGTCGCCGAGTGGCGGCCTCCACCGTACCGGCCGCCCCCTCTGCCTCCCCTCTCGGTGGGGCGCTGGCTGGAGCTCCAAGAGGACCAGCAACAGCCACACCACCACCACCACCACCACCATCATCACCAGGCGATTATGAAAAACGGTTTGAACAGCGTGGGCTGTGGTCTGGGGAACGTGGACGCTGGTAGCGTGGACGGGCACTACGAGTTCGACCCGGTCTCTTGCACGCCGACTCCGACCTCGGCGTCGACGCCCACGCGGGAGGAGCGTCCACCACCGGTGCACCAGATGCACCACCTGCAGCTGCCCCAGATTCACCAGGTGCACACGGCGCAGCAGCACCAGCCGGCCTCGGCTCGCTACTCGAGGGACAATATCGAGGCGCGCGTCCAAGCGATGAAGGCCGAGTTCCACCAGTTCCGCCAGAGGCAGGCCAGGAGACGACAGAGCGCCCACCTGGAGAGTGCCTGTTGATCTCCGCGAACGTAATTTTTCACCCGAATCGTTGTGCACATTATGTTCTGGTTTACTGATACGAGTGTGCGACAGAGGTATAGATACGCGCTCGGCGTAGTTTTTTTACGGTACCTGCGAACGCGTGAGTGCGTGTGCTTGAGACGCCGGTATAGGCTGTTCTTGGTCTGAACGATAATTGGATATCGGAGTGGTCGTTGATATGGGGATGAAAAAGTGCGTACGCGTGAGACGAAAAAAAAAAAAAAAATCAGTAGGGATATGATGTCCGTCCGCGAGAACCGCGACAAATTTTTCGTTTCTCTTGAGTTTGCGTATTCGCGGGTATGGTTGTATAAATAATATATACGCGCACATGCACGTGTGACGAGAGATATAAATTATATAATTAGATGTATAAAAAAAAAGACACTCCACGTGACCTACCGGGCGAGGCTGATTTAAGAAAGATACTCCAAAGATACCGCACCGTGACGAGTACGAGCTCTATGATACATATAACTTGTTAGAGTACAGCAGAGGATAAGAAAAAAAGAAAATATGGGAGAAAACGAAAAAACGCAAAGCATTTTTAACCTCTATTGTAATTTTTAATTAATTATTAACAAACAAAAAATGATAATTGTAAGTCTCACGAAGGAAGAAATAACCACCCACTTTTGGCGGAACTATAAATAAATAAAAAAAAAAACGAAAATCAATTCAACAAAAAATTCAAACGAAATGTTAGAAAGAAATTAGTAAATTTACACACACAACCACATACATACACACATACTGGAGATGACAACAAACGGCAAGTTAACAATCAAGCATGATGAAAAAGTAAGAAAGAAAGAAAAAAAATGTTGTACACAAAATGATGAGCAATGGACTCGAAACCAGTCGAAACGTGATATTAGGCCGAAGCTTGCCTCGAGATTGCTCGAGAACTCACTCGTACTGCACTGCCTGTTTATAGGGTTTCACTGGCAACCCAACATATTATCGGCACAATAATTTTTCTTAAGCAATGTTTAACGAAAGAAAGCGAAAGAGGGGGGTAAGAAACACGATGGAGTACGATGGATGTAAATGCATAAAGTTCTACTTGAGCGAAGTGAAAAATTGTAGTGCTGTGGATCGTCACCACCGATGCTGTGCAAATTATTGAAAGGAAAAAAAAAGATTCGCGAAGAAAATGACGAAAAGGTCTTCTTCGAGGAGCCACTGGGGGGTGTGATTTTAGCTTTTCTTTTTATAGTACAAACTTCTCGTTTACATTTAAGCTGAACAAAAAAAAAAAAAAAAAAAAAAACCTTCGATATAGACTATTAGTACCAGTACGCAATTACTAAACGAAGGTGATTAATACTCACGGTTTAACTATACGCTTAGATCACAAGGGACGTGTGATTATTGTTGGTGTAGACACCCAGTGACTCGAGTGGGGTACATGATTATCTGCAAAGATAATGTAAGTCACTACTATGTGTATGAGTAAGAGTAAAACGAAGCCTGAGTGCGCGAGAAATGTAACGAAAAAAAAAAAAAAATAATAATAAACGAATAAAAAAGATAAAGTTTGCGAGTGTCACATAGCAATCGAGCGGAAAGCAAGCGAAGTAAAAACATTAATTTCAAAAACTAAATTTAAGTAAACAATTACGCGTTGGCACGCAAAGAGAGTACCAATATTCTAAAGTAATTCTAGTTATTGAATCGATAAATCATTTGATAATTGTAAATCATAAAAACCCAAAGTGGAGTGTGTCGACGACGACGAGATCAGACGAACTGATTTTGATGTGCGGAAAAGTGGACCTTTGTTATTTAAAAGGATACGATGTATAAGATATAAGTGGTCGCGAGTGACCCGAATTCAGCCCTGTTGCTACAATGTATAATATTAACAATAATTATAATAATTATAATTATAATAATGATGATATTATTAACGATAACGGATAAAGTACTGATTACTATGTTATAATAAAAACGTGAAAATGAATGTTGTTCGTTCTGGTTAACGTGTAATTATAAGCGTCGAGGAAACAAAAAAAAAAGGTTCACGGTTCAACGAAGGAAGAGCAAAGAGCGAGCTTTTATCTCTCGGGCATGATGTACATTTGGTATTTTCGTTCTCTGCTCTTTTTTCCAAAGACGGGAAGAGCCTGTGATGTAAAATAAAGAAAAGTGGAGGGAAAAAAACAAAATTCGAAAAGCAAAGGTTGATCGAAAGAGCAAAGAAAGAACAAAGCTCTTGATACATTAAGCAGACTTTGAATCGAAAAAAAAAGAGAAAAAGAAAAATGGAAAAAGAAATTACTTCTGTTATCGTCTCCACCTTGTAATAGACAAAGCGATTAAAGCGTATATATATATATATATATATATATATATATATTCAGTAAGAATTGTAGATATATAATAGTTAGATACAACGATCTCAAGGCGACGCATGTGCATTTCGCTACGGAAATTTCAAGGAGTGTTGAAAGTGAACTGAGCAAAAAGGTATATACATACACATATAAATATACATTGAATGAGGAAAAAAAAAAAACTTATCGATCACAATATACAAAAGTATTATTGTACGTACTTATACTGAAAGCACACAATAAAAAAAAAAGCTGACGCATTATAAATAAAAACACACACAATTTTAAATATCGCGTATGAGAGAGAAAAAATAGGAGGTAAAAGACCGATTAATGTGGTTGAATCGTGACTGCGTGTGGTCTTATGGACGAACGATTCTCGTCAAATGACGCACACACATTTATCACTCGTCTTTTGTTTTCTGTGATTTGATTTTGGCACCCTGTTTTTCGACGCTCTTACGCATTGGTCTTTTTGTACAGCACGAAATTTCATTACGTGGGTTTGTGATCGTAAAATCGATTGTGTAAGAAATTAATTTTTAAGATTCTTGCAAAATCTTAATTATAATGTTCATTAAAGTGTTGACGCTATCACGTTATCACAGCTAATAAAGGCATGTACAATTATACTTATGAACTGTACACCATAGCTTTTAAAACCATGTGTTCTTAATAATTAATTCTTAAATGTGATTTTTTTTTATGTTAGGTGCAAATATTTTTGACATACATTTTTTAACTTACTGTTTCTGTCATATCTGCTACAGTTGACATTTTTTTTAAATTTGATATTGTGACTCAAATTAAATGTGAGTTAAACTAATACACAAAAAAATTTTTATATAGTATGAACTTTTAAAACGAGAATTTGTAAACTATTCGATTGTCATTTAATGTTTTTCATACGCCACTTCTCATAAAGCGGATAGCATGACATTGTCTTTTAAAGCTGTTGAATAAAAAAGTTCTATTGCGGAATTACTTGTACGCAAATTTAAACTGTTACTACGTTTTAGTATTTAAAATTATTAAAATCAAATAAATATCAGAGTTATTGTTTGTACAAACAACAGCTAGTTTTCTCTGCTTCACAATGATATATCTTTTTTTTTACACAAGCTTAAAATTTATCATTAAAAAAAGTAAAAAATATATATTTAAAGTAAATAAGACTTTTGCAAATAAAATTTTAATGCAATAAATATAATTAATAATGAATTCAAATGAATAAAATTCTCTGTGAATTTTCTCCACGAAATTTCTTACACAAACGATTTAACATAAAATTAGCAAAATTTTTCGTTGGATCACGCACATTTACAGAAAAAAAGCACACATATATACACCTAAGTAAATTCGCTAATAATACTCGTAAAAGAGTTTTTGACAGAATCATTCATAACTTTTTTAAAAAAAGTGAAGAAAAAAAAAGAAAAAATTTTTCACGGTGTCACGACGCATCGGTAGTTGCACGCTAGCGAGCCATTTTTGAAAAAAAAAAAAAAAAAAAAAAAAGGTTCTCAGGCCGCAACCAACGCTTCCGCCTAATAGCGCGTGCTTTTATAAATCGCAAATGTTACAAGTTCGCGTGTGATAAGTAGTTCGAAACCTTTGATAAACATTGCGGAAGAATTTTTCTACCCACGATCGTTAATTATCGCTTTAGCAAGTTCGTATCAAGTGCGAGTCGAAAAATAAGAAAACGAGGAGTTAAAATATACGAAAAAAAAGTGAACTACAATAAAACCACACGATGTTAACAATAAAAAAAAAACTCACATACAAACTATCACGTTTTGATAATTATTACAAAATATGACGTGTAACGGTAGACTATTTGCGCGGAAAGGCTCGACTCGTGCAAGCCTCCTCTCGAAACCGTATGTGCAACTATACAATAACGACGCATCGCGACACCGACAGTTAAATTCGTGTTTGACGTAAAAGAGCGATTCTACCTTAACATCTTGCGTGACAGAGATAGCAATTTACAGGACATTTTTTGTGAGCCAAGTGCGTCATTTTTTCCGATCAACTCGCCGTGGTTGCGAACTGTATAAAGGATTTATAAAATCATAGTTATAACAAAGTACGAAGTTGAGGAGAAATATCGTCGTTGTGCAAAATAATGAAAAAAAAAAAAAAAAAAAAAAAGAATTGCTGATCTTGCCCATTGAGTACAATTTACATTTTAGTTCGTTTCTAGTTTACGTAGCGTTTATTATTATCATGATCATCGTTACTATTATTGATAATACTAAAATTATAAATATCATTTGTAGTTTTTTATCGATTACACGAAACTTTAATCGTGGTATACGTATAAATAAAAATAATCATGTAAAAAAAAAAATTAATTCCAGGTGAACTTTTTTTTTTAACTAAAATATAAAAGCAGATTAAATTTTTTCCTCGCTGAAACACTGTTTATCTTTTTTTAATATTACGTACGTACATGGTCAAAAGTCACCCGCATCACGAATATAGTAAATATATTAAAGTACCTATAAATCATCATGTAAACATTGCGCAAAGCCTTTTTGCACTGTCAATCATGTATCTAAGCATGAAATCTCCACACTTGGTTTTTTTTTGCGTATGAATGTGTGATGATCATAACTGCGATCCCACCTATTGAGTACCTTTGTATGATCTTTTTTTTATTGTCGTGTATTTCGTTCTACGGATTATGTATATTTTTCTTCGGGATGAAAATGAAAGAGGAAAAGTCGTTAAGTCCCGTTATTATCAACTATGCTTTCTCGCTTCTCCGAGAACTCCACGACGTACTAACTTAGGAAGAATTGTAGAAGATTTATTATTAAATAAAATTATAAGGAGGACGGCCATTTAAACAAGATTTGTTTTTTTCCTACCTCATACCCTTGACTTCCTAATTTTTATAAGCTTTTTTAAGAATTTTCATTCTTTGCAATGATACGTGTAAGCAACCATACAAAGAAGAAAAGAACATTTTTAACTTATAATTTAGC